TGATAAGGGAAAGGTTTCCGGAAGATCAATAAGAAAAATATGTGTTATATAACGATTTTTTGAAAAAAACTTATGACACATTGAATTCAACAGAACTTTTGTCGAATGCCGTGCGAACGAGAACATTGGCCACTTCGATAAACTGTCGCAGGCTAGCGGCTGGCGGTGATTGAGCGGACACCTCTTGTCCCTGATCATGACAGGCCACTAGGTATTACTTACTTGTTTACTGAGCTTGTCCTTAGCACTTTGTGACTGTGTACTATTGGATAGCAAACTCAACTAAACAAATGCACGGAAAACTCACTAGTCTAGCGAGTTGTACTTCTTTCGTGGTGAGCGACCCAACTCAACGGATTGAACTTCAGTGTTCTGAGCTGGGAGGAACCAGCACACAAACTCAAACTATCTATGATCTTCTTGGATTCAAATAGATCCACCACACGTGGCCACTGCTGCTCAGGGCTCAATTTGGATTCCCATGGCATTGCGGTGTAAAATGGGTGGTGACCCTCTTAGGAAAGAGCTAAAAGCAATCCCACACAAGCCAGCTAACACTCGCGAACATTCCCTCTCTGCTCTTGAAGTAAGCTTAACAACCACTGCGCAGGGGCATCTGTCCATCGAGACCCCCAGCATCTTGACCTGTTCGATGCACGATGCCCTTTCAAACTAGCCAGCTGTGAAACCAGGAGACCTTCCAAGAGCATGGAGCATAGGGCCCCTTGTTCTTCTATTCTTGCTCCTCAGAATCTCAGAGGATGTTGAGGGCAAGAGGTCTCAGAACTCACGCAGCTTGTTTGCTCCTCAAGGTGGAGACAAAAAGAACGGGTTTGCACTGTTCATCTTTTCCATTATACACTACTTGACACGCTCAGGGCACCAGGTCCTTGCTCTAACATTTGACTGTTAGCCTTGTTTCCGCAGCGGAACCCAAGTCCTGAAGCGGTCAGCTGCAAGCAATTCCCTCAGCGGAAATTTGGAAGCTGTCCGATTGCACAAGCAAAGGATTGCGCGGTTTCAGTCCTGTACTGTACATGATGTCTTCACAGTGGCGTCAAGCGTTTCAATCTCAATGGCTCATGACTGTGAGCAGAATATTTTTTGGACACTTCTACACTTCATCCACCTTACTTTGTCTTGCAAACAAGCTGCGAATTATCTGTATGCAAAAGGGTTGCCAGGATATAGCGTCGGCGCCCTGAGAAGGGACCAAATCTGGCACAAACGATTTGCAATGGATCTGCACATTTGACTCCCAACACTTTAAAAATCTCCCATCGTCCAACTATGCAGCCAGAACACGAGGAATATAACGTGGATGGTGTAGAGAGCCTGGCCATCCCTGGGGCATGGTAATAGTAATAAACCACAACATCAAGGCAGCAAGTTAAACATCAACCTCAGGAACCTCAGGATGCGTTCAAGGTTGCGCATTGACTGAGCCTGCGGGAGGAGGTCTCACAGCATCGCCAAATGGGTAGGCTGCATGAGCCTTCGCAGGGCTAGCTCCCAGGCTCTCATAGTGTGACAAGATCAATTTGCTGGACCGCTGGAAAATAACCATGTTGAGGCAACCAACAATTCTTTCACTAAACTGCTTGTATGTGTAAGTAGTGCACTATATATATATATATATATCTCCGCCGACCCCGGCCTATAGCCAAAGCCTAGGCGGGGAGGCGCCTGGGACACCGCAGGGTGAAGCAGTTGGCCAAGCCTTGCAGAACCCTTCCAAGCACTTCCAAAGGCATGTGTGCAGGTGCATTGTGGTTGGCCGCGGCCTCTCGGTGGCCTGTCCGAGGCCTGCCTCTCCTCTTCTTATGGGCTTTTCCGAAAGCAACGTTAGGCATTTTGGATCGCCCTCCAACCCTTCTCGGCAGCTGGCAGGCCTGCCTCTTCTCTTCTGATGGGCTTCCAAAAGCAACGTTAGGCATTTTAGACCGCCTTCAAACCCTTCTCGGCAGCTGGCAAGCCTGCCTCTTCTCTTGGCCTGTCCCAGGCCTGCCTCTTCTCTTCTTATGGGCTTCCGAAAGCAACGTTAGGCATGGTGGACCGCCCCCAAACCCCTCTCGGCAGCTGGCAGGCCTGCCTCGTCTCTTGGCCTGTCCCAGGCCTGCCTCTTCTCTTCACCCACGGGCCCCGCCCGCAAACGTTTCTGCAGGCCGCGGCTTGGCCCACAAAGCTTCCTCTATGGGCTTTCGAAGGCAACGCGGCCTCTCTGTGGCCTGTCCGAAGCCTGCCTCTTCTCTTCACCCACGGGCCCCGCCCGCAAACGTTTCTGCAGGCCGCAGCTTGGCCCACAAAGCTTTTTCTATGGGCTTCCGAAGGCAACGTTAGACACCCACGGGCCCCGCCCTCAAACGCTTCTCGGCAGCCGGCAGGCCTGCCCCGGCCTCTCTGTGGCCTGTCCGAAGCCTGCCTCTTCTCTTCACCCAC